ATAATAATAAAGATAATTAGTATAACATTAATAATAATAATAATAATAACAATAATAATAATGATGATGATAATAATAAATAGCATTTATACAGCGCAAATTCCCTCTCGACAGTAGCCTCTATGCGCTTTACACTGTATCATTACAAATGCATTACCCTCAGGGGACCATAGACCACTCAGAAACATTCTCAGCTTCCCGGGAAGCACACAGGTAAGTTTCTCAGACTAGCAATATAAGGTTCCGAGGTCGAATCCCTTCAAGGGCCTGATGATGTGTCTTTGGAAAAGTCACTTTACACGAAATTTCCTCACTTCTTCCAGGTAGGACTGGGCGCTCGGCTATAGACAGCGAAAGATCTTTTCTCTATTTATTTGTTTTTTGTTTTGTTTTTAGTAAGTGTTTTTATCCTCTTAGTGACCTAACTTCGTAATCTGTCACGTTCCCTCTGGTAAATACAGAGTACACATTGTGAGAGTATCCAAAATTCCAATCCTTATGCTTTGGAATAAAATAGATTATGACTTTGCCAGAAAATGAAAAGGTGTATAAGAAATGAGCGGGAGTTCGTGCTGTATAGATGCTAGTTATTATTATTATTTATTATCATTAAACGATACTGAAGATCGTTCATTACAAGATCCAGTCAAACCTGTGTAAGACGGCCATCCATTGTCAAGAAGAAAAATGGCCGTATAAGATAGGTGGCCGTCTTAGGCAGGACTGATCAAGATGAAGAAAAACCATTCCCATTTGAAGTCCCAATCGAAAGTAGCCGCATTGTTGTTGTTTTTTTGTTGTTTTTGTTGTTGTTGGTTTGTATTTTGTTTGATTTTTTATTTCGTTGCTAATTTTGCGCAAGGGTGACAATTAAACGAAATGTATTAAACGAGGAAGACCGAGTGTCATGTTAAAACAAACACATGGGTCGCCACCACTCGGAGAACGAGCGATGCTTCTGTCACAAGTTCATGTTGACGCCCATTGTTACTTTGTTACAGACTGGGTAAACAGTGACCACTCATCTCACGTACGATTTGTGTATGAGTTCTGGGCGGGGCTTATGGG